GTTTGGGTCGAATAAAAAAAAAAGTGTTTTCATGAACAGTTTAAAATAGCTGGGGACATTATTGTTAGCCCCTTTTTTTTTCCCCCCCGATTGTCTACAATATAACTTTTGTCCAATTATGACTTTAATAGACCATTTTGAGGGATGTAAACAAAAACAATGGTCTTAACATAATTCCTGTTGTACATTTATTATTTTTATTGCTTCTGAGAATCCGAAAAGAGCCACATATTGACAAATAATGTTATGAGAGCTATTTTAAGAGTAAGTTATGTTTGAATTGCTCCTTGTTACCGGAAATAGTTGTTATAAAATAGTTTGATAACAAGCAAGAAACGTTCACGGGCCAATGACAAGACCACATTGAAATGGTCTATATAACTTATTAACTCAGCTAAGCCTTAAAACTGCACTTTAGTAAAATAGTATACACTGTCATCATTGCAAAGACAAAAGAGTCTTTCCCTAGTGTTGTTTAACGGAGATAATATAAAAAAAACATTTGAAAACATGATAGTTTTAATAACTATACTTAAAATTAACTTTATAATTAATAGAAAATCTTATTGCAAGTGAAACATGTTTAATTAAAAGTAAATAATAACAAGAATAATAACAAGGAAGGGCAGCGCAGTGTGAAGGCTGTCGTCTCACAGCAAGAAGGTCGCTGTTACAAGCCTTGGCTAGGTCAGTTGGCATTTCTGTGTGGAGTTTGCATATTCTCCCAGTGTTGGCGTAAGTTTCCTCAGGGTGCTCCGGTTTCCCCCACAAGTCCAAAGACATGCGCTATAGGTGAATTGGGTAAGCTAAATTGTCCGTTGTGTATGAGTGTAAATGCGTGTGTATGAATGTTTCCCAGTGATGTGTTGCAGCTGGAAGGGCATACGCTGTGTAAAACATATGCTGGACAAGTTGGCGGTTTATTCCTCTGTGATGACTTCTGATTAATGAAGGGACTAAGCCAAAAATAAAATAAATTAATGAATGAATAACAAGGAATGAATAAAAAAAAAAAAAAAAAATGATTGTCTACAAAACAACTGTTGTCCAATCATGACTTGCATAATTAATTTAACTTAACCTAATTAACTTAACTAAACCTTTAAACTGCACTTTAATAAAATATGATTCACTGTCATCATGGTAAAGACAAGAAATGAGTTATTAAAACTTTTGTGTTTTAAAATGTTAAATATTTATTATCTCCATCAAACAACACAGGACTATTTGAAAAGAAAACAAATATTAGGAAGGCTTATAATTTTGTCCTTATTGTTGACAAAGGATTCAATAAGAGTTTTCTGTGTGATACTCAAAACCACAAAACTGACATTTGTTCACTTTAAATCAATGTACTGTATTCGTAGTTTAATGTGATCCGCCCTCAGGAGTGTGAATAATATTGCCTATTAATTGACTAATTCATCTTATTGGCAAGAGTGTATAGATCATTTGTTTGCATGTTCGCCCTATGTTGGCGTGAGTTTTCTCCGGGTGCTCTGGTTTCCCCCACAGTCCAAAGACATGTGCTATAGGTGAATTGGGAGAGCTCAACCAAGACATATTTGTTTTGAACAATGTAAAATTATAAGGTTTTTCACACAGGCCAGTGCATGCATATTAAACAGAAACTCGATGGGCTTTTTACTTTCATGGACTTCTTGGCAAATAATTTATTTTTTTTATTGGGTCAAGTGATAAAATTTAGATGTGGACCATTACCTTAAATTTTTTTTATTATTGGATGAATTAAAGCAAAATTTGACTTTTTTTTGTTTAAAATAAATATGTTCTGTATGAATAGAAGTGACATTTTGTCCTGTGATGCAAAGCTGAATTTTCTTACGTGATCATTCATAAATGCTCTTCAACTGACAAAACAAACTGATCTTTTATGAGTATTTTGATCAACTAATTGTGCCCTTGCGAGTAAGCAATTTGAATTATTCCTCCCAAAATTAAACAAAACTTTTTTTAAGAACACCATAAAAAATGTATTTTTGTCTTCGACAAACAAATAAAAGCTGTTTCAGGAATGCTCTGGAGTTTAAGTCCTGTTCGTTAACTTTCTGCATTAAATGTATATTTTTTGACATCTCTTATCCCCATTAATTCACATTATATGAGTTTACCTTATTTGGCTAATAGTTGTAAATTAAATAAATAACTGCATGTATTCTGTCTCTTTTTCATTACAGTAATTCAGCAAATGCTGTCTGTGACTTGCCGAATTATGCTTTCTATTATTATCTGGCATCTGTGTGAAAGAGATGATACCTTAATGGCTATCAATGACAAATAAAAGAGTGCAGCATTATATAGATGCTTTAAGATATTTTATTTTTTTTAGCATTGAATACATTTGGACAGAGTAAATCATTAAACCTTATTTACTGGCTTTAAAAGTAACTTTGTCTTTCCATACTTTGGCAATCTTTTGTTCACAACAAAACTACTTCTACAAAATAAAAAAAAAAAATGTATATAGTTATATCATGTAAAAAATGATAGAATAAGTTTTAACCTTGAACAAAAAATTATAAATTAGGGATGTAACGGTATCAAAATTTCATGGTACGATAGTACCTCGGTATGAATGGCACGGTACGGTATTTATTGAACAATTTACAGGAAAAACAAAACTAATAAAAAGACTCAAAAAAAGTTCCAAAAGTGTTTATTTACCTTAGCACTGAACATATTAATGACATACAAATTAGCCATCTATCTGTAAGTTTTGAAACAGGAACTTCAATTTTTCAATTTTAATAACAAAAAACTATTAAACCATATTAAAAAAATAAAGTTTCAATTTAGTATTGTTGACAACTCATCACATTCAACATTTAATCTCTCACTCACTTAGATAGAGATGGGTTTTTTAAGGAAAATTATCATATAACTATAATCTGGTTAAAGCTTGGATCTCTGGACATGTCCCCTGCAACAGAAAAAAACCCTCTCATTTGGGACTGAGGTTTCTGGGACAGAGAGATATGATTTAGCCAAGGTTGACAGCAGTGGGTAACGTTGTGCTTTGTCTTTCCACCACTTGAGAGGACAAGCCATGAGTGAGATAGAGGTCTCTTTGCGGTACAAGTCAATGTCTGCATCAATCTAACAGTGTGCTGTGTTCTGCAGCCCCCATGACTGTTTTTAGTCGTATTCCCCGACTTATATTTCACAACAGACTGGCAGTGCCTGCAAACTGTTTTTTTCTTTGTCTGTCACCTTTTCTACTTTTTCGTATCTTTTTAGAAAGAAACCGAAATGCTTCCACACATCTGATTTAAAATCCTCTTTAGGTTCCATCATTTCCAGCCCTTTTTCTACCCCGCTACTAGCAGCACCCTCCATTTCTGCATTACTGGATCTGTAGTGACAACAGACCGCAAACGATGATGGCCACGCCTAGGCTAATGGGAATTGTAGTTCCCGCAACCTCCCGTTCGCTTCATTCTCCTAAGCAAACTTTTCTCAGAAATATAGTTTTATTAAGTCATGCGCCTACGGTAATATTGAAAAAAAATTACTATTTTATACTCCTATGCACTTATGTATATGTATATATATATATATATATGTATACTATATATATATACTCCTTATGCACGTCTGTCTAGTGCGTTTACACTGAATAAGTAAAGAAGTGTTCTGTCAACTTCAACATGAACAGTTTAAACATAGAGGAGTTCATGAGTAATTAAGATGAGTTCATGATGATGTGCCCCTTCAAGTAAAGTCACAACATAGTAATACATTAACAGCTCATGAATTCATGTTGGTTACATTTAGCTTAAACTTAAATGTTAATTAATACATAATTAGCTACATGAAACAAGTATTTAAGGTATTTAAGGTTGTTCACACATGAACTCTTGTGACTTATGTTGTAATTAAAATTTGTTCATGATTAACTCATCATTAGTTCATAATAAAGTAGTTTAGTTTAAATATTAATACATAATCATTCATGTGCTGTCATCGTAAAGTGTTCAACCCAGGCTCATTCTGAAAATGTACCTCTAAATACATTTCTGGAGAGTGCCAAATATGTCCCAGGAGCTACGTTTTTTGCAGTTTTTGTTTTCATGAATCCACAAGAGGCCGCTGTTTATGCTATTTGAGATCTCAAATTCTCTAGTGAGTGCCATTAGTGCCTGCTGTTCTTACGTAAACCCACCTGAGGCCACTGTCGACTGACTGTTTGACTGACTGACCGATCGACTGACCCACCCTCCTCCACCCACCCTCCAACCAATTGTATTGATTGACCCACCCACCCACTTCCTTAAACCCAACCAAAAATTTACAAAAGCCGTTCATAAAAAAAAAAATAGAAAAGCCGTCATCTTGATTTTTACCATCTTTTCAGATTTTACCACTGTAGTAAAGTTCATTGTTGTGTGGGAAGAAGAAGACAGGGTCGGCGATATAAGGTAAGTAACAGTTTTTATTTAGCATATAATTGCACAACACCAGTAGCTGTGTGTGGGTGTGCTCTCTCCCTCTTCTCCCGGCTGCTCCTTCTTTTCTCCTTAAGAAGGGTGTCTCTCCGGCTCAATCACTAGAGTAAACAGGTGTTATTTATTATTTCTGATTGGCCTGCTGATTAGCCGCCAGGTTCTGAGGATGCTCTCCCGCCTCATTGGGTGTTCAATCATGCTTACCTTTCCACAACTACATTCTCACCCTGTTACTGGTTAATTTTATTTTTGCCGTTGGTTTTTGTCTTTTCCGCTTTCTGGAATTGTTCTTCACCAGACTCGAACCCCATCATCGTGGTCAACTCCTCTCTGCATCTTAAGTCTGCCGATGTACATGGCGAGCTACTGGACAAACTGGTAACAGCAGAAAAGCCGTCCATATGGAGGTAAGCGGTCAGCTGGTAGAGCAAAAAAGTCCAACATCATAATGCCCCCTAGCGTTCATTTTAAAGATAAAATGCAGCCATACGTACTTCTGGCTACATAATTCGCAATCCCCAGAAACATATATAGGGCTACGGTTTCAGAATGAGCCTGTGTTGAATGTGTTACCAAAATAATCGTACATATTGTGCCTTTAACTGAGTTGTGTGACAGCTTTATAAGTTGTTTGCTTTCTTCCTACTGTGAAGTAGGTAACGCTGCTCCATGTGTCTCCAGTCATCTTCTGCAGCAAAGTCTGAAAGAAAAACCCTAAACATCATCACAGATAGTACAGGGTGACATTTATTATCTGATGTTCACAGGAATAAAACAAAGAGTCTCACCTCAACATCATCATAGTTTGAATCTTCCACCTGTTTGACACCTGAGAGGTCAGAATATGTTCACAGATCACAGTTGTGTAGACGAATGTTAGTTTGCATTTGACTGCTGTCAGTGTTTCAGCTCTAAAAGTTCTCTGATATAAACTTGTGTATCAGCCTACAGCTTTGTGCTGATCTTTGGTTTTCAAAGAGTCTCTTATAGAGATTCATTATAAGTCTAATGAAACCAAGTGGTCGAACTGTAAAAATGCTACAAATGATTTCAGCACTGTCGCTTTACAGCAAGAAGGTCGCTGGTTCGCATCACGACTGGGCAAGTTGGCATTTCTGTGTCTAGTTTGCATGTTCTCCCCGTGTTGGCGTGGGTTTGCTCCGGGTGCTCTGGTTTCCCCCACAGTCCAAAGACATGCGGTATAGGTGAGTTGAATAAACTAAATTGGCCATAGTTTATGAGTGAGTGTGTGTGTGTGTGTGTGTGTGTGTGTGTGTGTGGGTGTATAGATGTTTCCCAGTACTGGGTTGCGGCTGGAAAGGTATCCGCTGTGTAAAACATATGCTGGAATAGTTACCGGTTCTTTTTGCTGTGGCGACCCCTGATAAATAAAAGACTAAGCTGAAGGAAAAAGAATGAATTGAGCGTTTGGGACAGTGATGAGACAGTATTCATGATTTAAAGCTTCAATTTTGGGCCAGTCACATTGTTAAGCTGTGTTTTCTGATTATAAAGAAACTCTTTCAGGAATAGATGTGTGATCAGATGTTTCAGTATTTGTGAGATGCACATACCTTTTCTATTCTTGCAGACACAGTAAAGGATCAAACCAGCAAACGCTATCATCATTATTATCACTCCAGTAATCAACACAATGAAAGATAGACGAGGGGCGGGTTTTAGTGATATTTCTTTCTCTAGAATGTAGAAATCTGTAATAATTAGTTAAATAAGGTTTTATATACAGTATTTTGTAGACAAAATAGATAGTTTTTCTGTGTTGTAGGAGCAGATCTTTACCTCTACAGAGTGGTTTAATCTCCATTTCCTCTTTTTTCCAGCTGACAGGATTGCTGTAGTTATAGAAGATCGATTCCTCACTGCAGAACAGGATGAGGGTGTTGATCTGCTGTGATGTCTCTTTCTCTGGTGAGCATTGGTTGTTCTGATAGCTAGAGTTATTAATGATGAGGTCTTGAGCACTGCATGTGAAGTTAACAGTACAGGAGTCACTGCTGATTGAGTTTACAGTCAGAACAGGAGCCTCCACTGCGTCTGAAACACACATTTACACTTACAGGATCACAATCAGCTGAGTGATACGATATACTGTCAAAGCTGAAGACAGAAACCATTTATACACATACAAGAATATTAACTATTCAATTATAATTGAAGTAGCAGATAAAATCCAAAAACTAAACAAAGTGGTGTAAGCTGATTTAAATCTGCACACCTGAAATGAAAAACTGAACATAAACTACATTTATGAATTATGAATAGTCTTTTATGGAGCAAAATGTTAAATCACACACAGAAATGACACTCAGCTATAACAGACACTCTGTATACAACATGTCTTTGTCTAAATCTGTGTTTATTCTTACTGTGTATCGTCCACTGTCTGCCTTCTGCATGTTCTTCAGTGTCCGAGAAAAGCTTGTTTCATTAAACTCTATCCTGTTCTGATAAGACGGGTGAGATCTAAGGCTCTATTTTGACGGTTTATGCGCAGAGCGCAAAACGCAGAGCGCAAACACTTTCAGGGCGTGTCAGAAAGCATTTTTGCTAAATTAAGGACAAGAAAATCCTCTTTGCGTCATGGCGCATGGTCTAAAAGGGTTGAGTTTATTTTCTTAATGGCTTATAGGTGTGTTTTGAGAATAAACCAATTAGAGTCTCATCTCCCATTACCTTTAAGAGCCAGCTGTGTCACGCCATAAGCGCATCCGCTATTTACAGGACGTAAAGTAAGTCTAAGTGGAAAAAATTAGCATTTCACTAGCTAACAGTTAACAGTTTTTTTTTTTACAGAAAACTGTTAAACAGAGCATCTACTGCGTGAGAACGAGAGATAATGGATCACTTTCACTCTCGCTCTTGTAAAGGGAAACCTTTACGCACAGACATCAATTAGTCTATAAATAAATAATTGCGTTTGTTAAGCGCAAACATTCGTTTCAAACTATTTCTAAATTCAGTTCTAATTTCCAGCAAACAAATAAATGAACAATATTAACGAAGTGTGCTCAAAAACCTGAGTTATATCCTAAAACACATGCTGTGCTAAAACCTGACAGGTGGGCAAATCTAAGCTAGTTTTAATAAAACAAATATAAATATGGATATAATAAATAATACTGCTAATAATAATAACATTATGCAAAAGCAAATTGTTATGAAAGAACTGAAAAAGCCTCCCGAGATGAAGAAGACATAAAAGCAGTGATTTTTCATATTTATGTAGGCTAGAAAATAATATGTTTTGTAATATTTTAATCCTTTATATTTATATCCTATATCTATTCTTATTATATCCTATATATATCCTTAATATTTAATTTTTTTCATATGTAAAGATATTTGCCTATTGCTCTTGTGTGCGTATTAAGCAGTGCGTAAGCGAGGCGCAACTCTGCGCCGGAGTTTAGACTGGGTTAGTTTTGGTCTAATGAAAAATCTATTTTAGTTTCTCAAAATAGCAACGCGCCAGCACTGCGCCTCAGAACGCCTTCCTTTTTAGACCAGAACGCCTATGGGCGCACATATGAGCACAAATGCATTTGCTATTTAAACAGTGTAGCGCAATGCCTCAAAACAACTCTTGCGCCGCGCCTTGCGCCACATTGCTCCGGGTGTATGATAGGGCCCATTAGCTTAGCTTTAACCTCATCAGACATTTAACACTGAAATGATCAAACACAAGACCATTACATTTTTCTACATTTGTTAATCAACTCTCTTACCTGTTTCAGGGATGAGGACAAGAATGAAGGACACAAGAAGACGATCGACTCTCATTGTAACAAACGTCATGGCTGATGATGAGTTTTTAAAACAGGAAGTCACTAAATATGTAGATGGAATGAGAGTTACACAAAAGCTCAGTTCACTGTTTGTCAACTGCTGGATTAATGTTAGCTAGGTGTAACATATTTAGCATGATAATATAATGCATTTAGCTTTAGAACTTGACACAAAGGTTAAGGGCTTAAATCTCCATTTCATGTGCAATATTTGGACGGTCGTGTCAGAATTTGGTGCAAATCAAATGAAAGCATGGATCATCCTGCCTTGTATCAGGTGTTCAGGCTGCTGATGGTGTAGTGCTGTGAGAAGTTTTTCACTTTGGGCTCTTCAGTAACAAAGTGGCATCATTTAAATGTCACAGACTTCCATATGTAATGTAACTGAGCATGTCCAAGTGTCCAAGAAGATGTCCAAAATCTTTACACGCATTGACCCAGAGACTGATTAGATGCATGTCACTGATGAGAAGATGATGGATGTTTACTGTACGATGACCGAAATGGCTTTAAACACCCAGCAACGTTCAACCTAAAACCAACCAAATATCAACGTCTAATGATGTTACGGCTTGATGTTGTGTGGACGTTGTGTGGACGTTACCACTATGACGTCTATCAGACATTGGATTTTGGCTGCCATACCTGAAGAATAAATCAGTAGTATTTAACGTAATAGTCAGTATTTAACGTCAATATGACACTGGTTTAAGATGTTGGCTCAACATTGGATTTTTGTCACTTTCCAACACAACCTAAAGTCAACCAAATATCAACGTCATTTGACATCATTATTGGACATCAAAATAACGTTGTCTAAAGATGCTGGCTAGCTTGACATCCCAACCTAAATCTAACCTAATGTTAATGTCTTATCATGTTGTGAGCCTGCTGGGCAATAACTAAATGCACTTCAGAATGTTACGTGCACACACACATGCACAAATTACTTGTAAATGCATTAGCTTTTTACAGTGTAATACTCACTACTCACCACTCTTGAGTACTTTAGAAAGGGCTAAATTTTACTCATACTTTGAGTAAATTTTACCACAGATACTTTTACTCTACTCACACTACATTTTTAGGCAAGTAATGGTACTTTTACCTCAGTATGATCTTTCAGTACTCTTTCCACCACTGGAAAACAGTAAGTGTGTAACATTTTTTATTTTTATTTTTTTAATAAAAAGTCTTAAAATGTAAAAAACCTATAAAAAACATCCCATAATGTAGATAAGTTGTCATTTAATAAGAATATGTCAATAAATAAATTTTGACAAAAATGTCAGATAAAACCCAATAATTCTAAGGGAACGAATTGTCAAAGGTCATTTTATACTTTTTGTTTTGTAATATATGACCTATTGTCTATTATGAGATTGTTTTTAATCTGTTTTGTGGCTCCATGCTGCTGAACAGGCTCCACTAATTTGAGCTAATTTTTATAAAATGTTATTTAATACATACTTGTTTATTTTACATCTTTTAGAGCTGATGAACAGACTCCGCAAAGTTTGTGGTAAATCTAAAAAAAAAAAGTAGTTTTCATCAACATTGTGTTGGTTTTTCTGTTCAATTAATTAATTTTTTTAGATTACTGATTGCAGTTACTCATTTTAAATGGCTAATTTTGAATAAGCTAATTTAATTCATTGTTACTCAATGCATACTTGTTGAATTTAAATAATAATGTTGCTTGTAATTAATTTGTTACCTCAATTTTATTGAGTAAATATAGGGCATTATTTTTTATATAATGCAGGATCAACACAGATTTGAATCCAGGATCACATCTTTGGCAAAATCACACCTAAATAAATATCCTAACCATAATTTCTCAAATGCATTTGTACTTTTAAAGTTAATTGTTTTTCAAGATAATATAAGAAAGACATTTTATAGACATGGGTTCTTCAGGAGCCATAAACATACTGTTTTATTTATTTATTTTTAATCATATTTTAATCAAGTGTAATATTTAGCAAAAAATGTGAAGTTAACAACGTGCTTACAGTTAAGATATTATTATATAACTTTACTTCTCGAGTGTAAGGTTTTGTTCATTTCTTTGTGTAAGTTTTCATTTGGAGAAAACTGTAAATCAGGCAGACAAATTGGCAGTTTACCAAGTGAGCTGTTTAAAAAAGGTTTTAGAGAAGGTTCACACCACTAGGTGTCGCTGTTTACTTGGTTTCAACGTTTAAACATCACTGGGCCTTCCTAAAGACTGATTGCTATGCTTCCCACGATTGGATGGCCAGACTTCCTTCCTTCCACTTCCATTGGTATCCCGAATTACACACATGCCAGAATAGCTCAGAGCCACTGGATTTGCCAATCCTTCTGTTTTTAACTATACGAATGAACGCAGCCATGCACTGTAAGGTGAGTCGTTTTTACACATACATTAAACATACATTTTACACATATATTAAATAACTTAAGAAACTTAAAGTTAAAGCAGATATTCATATGTGAACATTTACTTAGTTTACTTTTCAAGTTAAAGAACTAATAGTCTGAATATTTACTAATCTAAATCCTTTAGCCTAATGTTACCTAGTTGAAGTAGAATGCATGTGCACAAGTTTTGTAGTTTAAGTCAATCCTCTAAATGTGTTATGTAACTGTGATTTTTAAGTAAAAGTAAAAGAGTCAGAAATGGTTAGTGTTATGTTATACTTTGTGCATCACAGATTTTAGGCAAAGACTGTATAAAGTTATTAGTTTAAGAATATATTAATTACTACATATGACCCTGTACTGCACAACCATAAGTGTTTTATTTATTTATTTATTTATTTTTATTTTTTGCTAATATTTATACATCACCTGAAAGATTTCCATTGATGGTGGTTTGTTGTGTTGTGACATTTTGAATATATAAGGATTCAAAAAAAGGGGTTCAGAAAATCTTCTTTAAAGTTGTCCAAATGAAGCTTTTAGCAATGTATATTATT